AAAGAGAGAGAGAGAGAGAGAGAGAGAGAGAGAGAGAGAGAATGATGGGTGTGGGCTACAGTACACGTGAGAAGTAAAAGGAAGTGACACAGCCGATCAGAACCGAACAGGCAAAGAAAACGAAACAAGACATACTGACCCCTTTAACCAAACGTGATCCTAACAGTTCTTGTACTTCGCAGACACTTTTGAAAGAAAAAAAGGAAACAATTTGTCACTCACGTTTAAATAAAAAGTCGGGTACCCTTGCAGGTCTTCGAAACAGCAACGTCACCGGTTTGACAAGTTCATTTGTAGGCGTGTAGTTTTACTATTACTCTGGTTATTCCATCTGTAATAGAAATGCCTGTCAAAGGCCGAGAGCTGTTCTTCTGTGACATGGGGGAACGGGTACTCTAATTTGTCATAGTACGGTCATATCACTTTGCCGATATGGAGAGAGATATGGAGAGAGATATGGAGAGAGAGAAAGGGAGAGAGAGAGAGAGAGAGAGAGAGAGAGAGAGAGAGAGAGAGATGCATTATAAACGAACATGCAAAAAGACGTTGGCAAATATGATAGCACTTTGATTTAAAATAAAAACAATATCGGCACTGAGCAAACATGCTACGGGTTATTCAAAATCAGGAGTTTTTTTTAAACCTTTAACTCGCGATGTCTTTTCATTTTTGGTCAGTTTTATCGTGCGTGTGAAAGAAAAATGTCTAACTAAAACTAAAAGGGAAAGTAGCGAGGCTATAATATTATCTTTTATTAACTGGAACAGAGAAGAATTTCAGGAAGTCGCTGTGAATGAATCCCAGGATGTCTGCACAGTATCTTTTGTTCATTCTTGCGTTTAACACAAAATGCTATCATTCACAAGAACGTGTATCCATCATGTATAAAAGCTTATATTTATCTTCACCATCCAAATGGCAATTTTTGCTAGTTACGAAATTGAATCCTTTAGTTTTAAACACTTGACTTGAGAGAATGTCTTTTAAAACACGATATTTTATAGAAGATGTCCTCTTTACTGAAGTTATTATTGAGATAATGCATGGGAAGCTTTTTGTTTGCTGCAAAAGAAGGCACACTTTCCTGTGTTAAAAACGAATGGACAATAAATAAACATAAAAATTTTGTCGATACATATAAAAAGGTTTCTAGAGATGTGTATTAAATGATAGCGAAGGTTCAAGTACACCCATTTTAATTCCGAGAACGGTGGCCTTATAACTAAAGATTCTCTCTATAACTTTCTTAGCGCTATAAATAAAGCGAGCCGTGACACAT